AAACAGACAATGACATTAAAGATTCAAAACACCCATCACCTTAAGGTCCCCTCCTGTTACCTTTTCTTGGGGGTTACTAGGGATTGAAACCAGGGCACTTTACCACTAGGCTAAGTCTCAGCCCTTTTTATTTTGAGAAAGGATTTCACTAAGTTGCTGAGGGTCTTGCTAAATTGCTGAGGCGGGTTCTGAACTTGCAATCCTCCTACCTCACTCAGCCTCACTAGTTGCTGAAATTACAGGGGTACACTCCTGACACCAGTCTTTTTTTTTTTTTTTTTTTTTTTTGAGACAAGGTCTCACTAAAATTGCTAAGGTGGCTTCAAACTTGTGATCCTCCTGACTCAGCCTCCTGAGTCTCTGGGATTATGGATGTATGCCACCATGCCCAGTTCCCTCCTACTACCTTTTGATAGGCTTAACTATTTCCCCCATCTGTACCACAGCAAATCCTACTGTGTTCTCCATATCAGTAACTGCATTGTTTTAAGAATGTTATATAAAGGGAATCATTTGTGGGATGGCTTGTTCCACTTAGCAGTAACTTTGACAATCCACCCAGGTTATTATATGTATTAGCAGTTCATCCCTTTTTAGTGCTGAGAAGTCTTGCATGGTATGAAGAAACCTCAACTTGTTTTACCATTTACCTACCAAAGGACACTCGGGTTGTTTCCAGTTTAGGGCTATTATAAATAAAACTGCTTTGAATATGCATACACAGGTTTTCATGTGAACACAAATTTTCACTTCCCTAGAATAAAGTGCCTAGGAGCACAATTGCAAGATCATATAGTAGTTGCATGGTGAGTTTTTAAGAAACTATCAAACCGTTCTCCAGAGCAGCAGCACCATTTTACATTCTACCAGCAGTGTGCAAAGACCCAGCTCCTTGCATGCTCACCAGCACTGGATGTTGCCACTATTTCTTTACTTTAGGTATTCTGTTAGGTATATAGTGATAACTATTGTGGTTTTAATTTGCCTTTCCCTGATGGCTAGTGGTGTTGAGCATCTTCTCATGTATTTATATTGTCACCTATATATCCCCTTTAGTGAAATGTCTCGTCTCTTGCCCAAATTCTACTTGTATTGTTTGCTTTTTCTCCTGTTGAGAGTTTTGAGAGTTCTTTATATTTTCTAGATACTAACCCTCCATCACATATGTGGTTTGCAAATACTTCCTCTCCATCTGCAGAGTGTCTTTTCTTTTTTTCTTTCTTTTTAATACTTTATTAATTTATTTTATGTAGTGCTAAGGATCAAACCCAGGGCTTTGCACATGCTAGGCAAGCGCTCAACCGCTGAGCCACAACCCCAGTCCTGTATTGTGTCTTTTCATCCTCTTTTGCAGAGAAAAATTTTTATACTTTGGTGAAGTCTAGCTTATCAGTTTTTCCTTTTATTGATTATGTTTTTGGTGTCACATCTAAGACCTCTTTGCCTAGCCCTACATCATGAAGACTTTCTGAGATTTTTCCCGGAAGTTTTACATTTAAGCCCATGATCTATTTTGAATTAATTTTTGTATTAAGTGAAGTTTAGGATGAGATTCACTATTAGCCTATGGCATCCAATTTTCTATCCAATTTGCTGAACAGGTTCTGCACCTCTGACAACAATCAGCATGTAGGTCTGCTCCTAGGTTCACAATTTTATAGCAATCTGATACTTTTTGAGATCTAATTCTCCTTATTTCATATTTCCACATTTGTTTTAGCTAATTCTACTTCTTTTTCCTTCCCATATAGATCAGAATATCTTATTTGTATCTACAAAAAATATCTTGCTGGGATTTTGACAAAAATTGTATAATTCACTTCTAATAGTTATAAAGTTGTTTGAATTACCTACTTCAGGGCTCAGTATATAGTTCAGTTGCAGAGCACTTTTCTAGTGTGTGTGAGGCCCTAAGTCTGATTCCCAGTACCACAAAAAGAAAAAAATAATATTGATTACATATTGGGTACCCTGTGGTAGTTTGATTTTCAAAGCATTGGTCCATTTATATGAATTTGGGGAGAACTGACATGTTAACATACCAGTCTACAAACATGTCTCTTCATTTAGGCCTCTGATTTATTTCAAATTTCTCCACTAAATTTAGTGCTTCTCTGATCTTTTTAGTTTTTAGCATACAAATGCTATACATGTTTTGTAAGATTTATACTTAAGTGTTTCATTATTTTAAGCAGTTGTAAATGATTCTGTATTTTTAGTTTGGTGTCTATACATTCATTGCTCACATACATAATCTTGTTTTCTTGAGTTTTTATCAAGAATGGGTGTTGGATTTTGTCAATTTCTGCACTGACCGATAAGATGAATTACATTTTCAAATACAAAGCCAATCTTGCAACCTTCGAATAAACCCCACTTGATTATGGTATATAATTTTTTTTTACATATGCTGAATTCAATTAGTTAATATTCTGCTTAGAAGTTTTGTGGCTATATATCTTTTGTTCTGTTTTTGTCCGATTTTGGTATCAGACAATACTACCCTCCCAGAATGAGTGAGAAAGTGTCCCTCCCCTTCCATTTCTCTAGAAGAGACTGTAGAACTGGTGTTAATTCTTCAAATGGTTGGTAGAAATCTCCAGTGAAACCATCAGAGACTGAAGACTTCTTTTATAAAAAAAAAAAAAAAAGTTGGAAAATTAGATATTGAATTTCTTTAATAATTACAAAACATTTCCAATTATTTATTTCAGAGGATGTGCAGTAGTTTGCACATTTCAAGGAATTGGTCTGTCCCGTCTTTTGATCTACTGTTTCTGCAGTAGAGTTGCTTGTTGTATTCTTTCCTTATCCTTTTGATTCTGCAGGGTCTCTGGGCCCTTGAAGAATGCTGGGCCACTTTCTCCTGGTCCTCATGTTTCTGACGAGTAATCTGCTGTTTTAACTGCTCTCTAAGTTTGTCTTTTGCCAATTGGAGCTGCTTTAGCCATTATATCTGTTATGGTTTGGATGTAAGGTATCCCCTGAGAAAGTCCAGTGTCAATGCAAAAATCGTCAGAGGTAGAGTTATTGGATTGAGAGCTGTAATCTAACCAGTCCATCCTGGTGTGAATGACCTGATGGTAACTGTGAGCAGGTAGAATACGGCTGGAGGAGATAGATCACTAGGAACATATCCTGAAAGGGTGCATCTTCTCTGTGTCCACGTCCTTGCTTCCTGACCTTGCTGTGAGCTGAGCAGTGTTCCTCTGCTGGGCCCTCCCGCTATGATGTGCTGCCTTACCTTGGGTCCTAAGCAATGAGGTTAGTCATCTATAGACTAAGACCTCTGAAACCATGAGCCCCAAATAAACTTTCCCTCCTCTAAATTATTCTTGTCTGGTATTTTGGTCACAATGATGCAAAAGCTGTCTAAAACATTATCTTTGAAAAGTTCTTCATCCCTGCCCTTTATCCTCTCTCCAGAATTCCAGTGACACATCTCTTAGAAATCTGCTCTGGTCCCCAGAGGAGGAGGAAATAACACCTTTCTATCATTAGGCAGAGTGGAATGTCACATTCTCTGCCTGGCCTCCCTGGGTGGGGGGAGATGCTCTTCTTAGAGCTGGGCCTGGTGGCAGTTCTGGCTTCCCATGTGGCCCTCAATGATACTTCCCTGGCTGGGGGAGTGACTGCCTCCCACATGATTTCCACTGACACCCAGCACCATTCAAGGTTCTTTAAGAAGTTGTTACTGCTCAGCAGAGATAAAGTTCCCTGTTCCCTGCTTGGCCAGCTCTGGGGGACAAGGTGGCCCCTACTTGGCCTTTGCTGGTGGAATAGAGGTTAGGGACACAGTTGTTTCTATCACGTTTGGCTGGAGCTGAGCAGTACTTCTCTGAATATGCTGCCTTGTGAGGCTGCCCTTTTCCTGGTCCTCTGGCAGAGGGGAGCAGATTCTACCCTTGCTGGTGTTTCAGGTTGCCAGCTTCTTAACACTCATGGTCAGTATGGGGCTGCTCAGCTTCCCCATTTAGCTTCTTTCCATGAATCCTCTAATGGAAAAGATCTGGTTACAGGCATTCTAGATGCTTGATAGAGAAAGGGGCTGGGAATTCTCACCATCCATAGCAGGCTTTGACCTGGGTCTCTCCCACCCTCCATTGTGCCAGATATCTGCAGGTCCAAAGTCCCATCTCCCAGTGGGGAAGGGAGAAGCTAATCCCCTGGCTGGGCCAGGTGAAGGCAGGAATCCCTCTCACAGGCATCCAGACAGGCCCCTTCTAAGCACCTGGATTCTTTCTTCTGTGGGTGCTCAGGTCCAGCAGCATAACTTCTGACCCCAAAATCTCACCTCATTAGCTTCCTTCTCCTATTTATGGGCCCCCTCAACCTGTTGTCTCCTTCTCTTTCTCTCCGACCTTGTGGCTTAATACCTTTTTATTCATTTACTTTCATGTTAGGGGACATCACATGGCTTAGAAACAGTCTGTTGAGCACAGGCCTTTGAGACACAGTGATGGGCTCAAGCACATGATTAGAGTGCCTTCCCCACCCACCTTTTTTTGCAGTAATGGGGATTAACCCCCGGGCCTCCAGCATGCTAGACTATCCCTAGCCCCTTCCCCTCTTTTTAAATTTTGAGGCAGGATCTCACTAAATTGCCCATTTGGGCCTCAAACTTGCAATCCTCCTGCCTCAGCCTCATGAGTAGCTGGGATTACAGGTATATGCCATCATGTCCAGCACTCAATCAAATAACTCTTGTCATCTGCAAACTAGAGGAGATGTGGAATTTCTCCCAGCTCTTCAACCCTCTTCTGGTGGAGCAGGTCAAGCTGCCCATATGGCTGGGCCTTCAAGAGAGAGGACATATCATACTACTGCATAAAAAAACAAACTTTGGTCAGGGACAAGAATTTGGGTTTTGGGTTTTCTTATTAGACACATCAGCACAGGAAGGGCAGTGAGTGGGGTGTGGGCTAAGGCACTATGTAGAGGTAGACGCCTCATCATCTCAGTGTTTGGCACCGTGCGCCCTGTGGCCCATGGCGACTTACCTTTACCTCCTTCTCAATATAGTCGCTCAGCAGTCTGTCTGGCTCGACGCGCTCGGGTAATGACAGCACCACAGTGTGCAGAGGGCGCCTCTCTGTCACCTTCTCATGGGCTTTCTTATCTCTACTCTTTTCACCTTTTAGGAATACTCGTTTAAATGGCGACACAATTCCAGGCTGCAGGCAGAAATGGCAATGATTGGAGTTCATTATTCACAAATGCTTTGTGTTGTACCTGTGGCTAACAAACAGAAGTAGCCAAAACCATTACCACTATCCCCATGCAAACAGGGGTTGATGATGGCCAGGCTAGTGAGAAAGGACAAAGAATACACAGCCTGAGGGATTGGGCTCCGTGGCCAGCTCACAGGCCCAGGTGGGCCAAGAAGCCACATGGGCTGCGTGGAGGGCTCTGTTCACTACAATACACAGAAGGCGAGTAACCTTGGCTGTTGAGAAGAAGAGACAGAGGGAAGAATTTCCCCAGAAGACAAAACATACATGGCTCCAACTCCTCCAAACTCTGCTGAGCAACTTCATGTCAGAGAACTCTGTGTAGGCAAGTAGGAAGGATGGCCAGGTGTGAGCAACAAGGAACCATCTCAGCAGCCAAGGTGGAGCAGTCTACAGAAGTTCATTTCTTTCATGGTGCTGGGACTGAACCCAGGAGCATTCTACCACGAATTACATGTCCAGCCCTTTTTTTTTTCCCAGATAGGATCTCAGTAAGTTGCTAAGGGTCTCACTAAATTGCTGAGACTGGCCTTGAACTTGTGATCCTCCTATCTCAGTTTCCCAAATTGCCGGGATTATAAGCATGCACAACCACACCCAGCTGAAGCTCATTTTTTAATGGAGCATGTGCTGCTTCTGCAATCCCTTCCCTCTGGCAGGGCCTCCAGGCTTCAGGTGCAGACAACTAGACACCTGATCATGCTGGTTGGTCCCTCACTAAGCAACCTCACACACCCTGTTAGGCACCTCATGAAAGTTCTGAAAAATAATCCTATAATCAAAGTGAATTCAGAGAGAGAGAGTGAAAGAGGATGAAAGCAAACCTAGCCTAAGAAACGCCAGGATAGGGCCTGGCACCTCCTGATCATTGACACCATGAGGAAGCAATCCCAAGTTCTGTTAAGAGATGGCGCTGCAGTCCCTGAACATAAACCCAGAGAAAATAAGACACTGAGTGCTACCTCAGCAGCAAAATGTCACAAATGCAGGCAAGACACCAAGTGACCTTTGCAAGAGACAATGACATCACTGCCTTTTTCTCAGTGTTCTGACAGACATCTTAGTGAGGAGATTCAGCTGGTTCTACGGCTCGCCTACCCAGACGGGGTGACAGTGCTCAGACAGCAGCTGGGTCCACACAGCAGGCCCAGCTTAGACCTTCTCTTATTCCCAAATACAGTAACAAACAAAATATATGAGTTATCAGATACTTTAAAAGCTTTCACTTCTCTCCCCTGCAATATGGGAAATCCAGCCACACACAAAATCCAACACAGAGTGGTGTCACAGAACCTGTGGTCCCAGAGAACACCTTGTCAACTACCAATTTCATAGACAATCACAGCTGAGGGTAGAACTCTGTGATCACTTCCAACAAAGGCAAAATTTTATGGTCCAGCAGCTTCCCACAGTTACCCCCATAGTCAGGCTGGGGTCAGACCCTACCTGGCATGGACCCTCCCACCTCCTGCCAGCACACTCTGCTCTCTAGCATTAGAAGAAAAAAAAAAATCAATAAACAAGCAAAGTCCACCCATCCTCACATAATAGGCCCAAAAATCTTCCCTGACTCTGCTACCTTCTGACAGTGGAGACAGCTTTTCCTGTCCCTCACCTTTACTACTGACCCTTCAAATCCATGGCCTTTTGATGTTGGGTTTTATTACATTCATTGAAACAGAAATCAGAAATCCTGTTCAACAAAAATAAAACAATGGGGGCTGGGGTTGTGGCTCAGTGGTAGAGTGCTTGCCTGGCATGCTTGAGGCACTGAGTTCTATCCTTAGCACCACATAAAAATAAAGGTACTGTGTCCACCTACAACTAAAAAATAATAATTAAGAAAATAAAGATATTGTGTCCACTTAAGACTAAAAAATAAATATTTAAAAATAAATAAATAAATAAAATGATGGGAGAAGAGTTGGCGCTGGAGCTGTCCACTCACTCTGCTATCATGCCTATCCTCACCCCCACCCCAAGGTTTCCTACATCTCAAGGACCCTTTCCTACCAGTAGATAGACAAGTTCCTCAGGCTGGAGGCTTGACCTCCACTCTGGCATGATGGTCTTGGCTGCATAGTTTCCTAAGCAAACTGATTATCTGAACTTTCACCATCTCTAAAATGAGTTTATGATCCTCAGTCTGTGAGCAGACTATGAAATAATTTACAAAATCCACTGAGCACACATCTGATACACTGTGAACAAGCAAAATATATGTCAAGTTATTTTATGACTGTTTTTACTCTTGACAATATATTATAAATTCATCTCACCGGTACAGTGGTACACACCTATCCCAGGGATTTGGGAGGCTAAGGCAGAAGGATCACAAGTTTGAGGCCAGCCTAAGCAACTCAGTGAAGCCCTATCTCAAAATTAAAAAATTAAAAGGGCTGGTATGTAGCTTGGTGAAAAAGCATCGCTGTATTCAATGCCCAGTACCATTCAAATATATACCTTCATGCATACATTAATTCATCTCTTCTTCAACATCTATCATTATAAAAATAGTGCCAAAGCCTCAGACTGTCTTCTACACCTCATGACCAGACTAGAAAATAAAACTGGGCCTGGCACCCACCTGAGTGCTTTATCCACTCTCCCCATGGGACAAGACTCTGATGCAGGTTCAGAGCCCTCTGATCCACTAAAATACTTCCTCTCGTGTGAGCTATTTTGACCCACTCAGCATCTGCCTCCTTGACCTGGAATAGTCAATTGTTGACCTTGACACCCTTTCTTGACCAGTAGCTTCCCCAGAGGTAGCCCCTTAAAATTTCTTGCTGGCATTGAGGAGAAGGTAGAGTAAGATAACTGAAGGTTCCCAGCGCCGAGACCAGTGGCACATGCCTGTAATCCCAGAGACTTACTGAGGCAGGAGGATTGCAACTTTGAAACCAGCCCTAGCAACTCAGGGAGGCCCTAAGCAACTTAGTGAGACCCTGTCTCAAAATTTATTTATTTATTTTTTAATTAAAAGGGTTCAGAATATAGCTCAGTGGTAAAGCACCCCTGGATTCAATTCCTAGTACCAGAAAAAGAAAGAAGGTCCCCACAGCAGGTAACAGCTGGGGCTGGATGATGTGTGTACAGAGCTCCATTTTCTTTGCTCTGTACTGTTTTCACCTTTGAAATATTTATATTTGAAAAGGATGAATATGATTGCTGCCTCTCACTGTTTATACGTAAACTGGAACAAGATATAAAAGCATATAAAGTTAAAAGAACCAATATCCTTAGAAGACAACCCTCTCTAAGACAAATAACAGAACAGATGGAATAGGGTTCTGGAAAAGTTGGCAGGATGCTAGTTCTGAGCTGCCATATTCACACTCTACAACAGCTGCCCCTGGGGTACCTTTCAGGCTTTTTCTCTTCAGACCCTTCACAAGCTTGTACTTTGAGCCTCAGGAGGAGTTTTGATAAGTGGTGAGTGGGAGCAGGTGGCATTTGGACCAGGCAGTCTCAATGTGGGGTTCTCAAGGGAGAAGGGTGAGAAACAGTCACCTGTGATTTATCAAATCAGATTTTTACTGAGGGTAAACTGTAAGCTGGATATGACCCCCCACATTTGGTGATGTAATTTTAGCAATGCAAAAATCATGTTTCATCAGCCCCACCAAAAACAACTGTGATTTCCTCACTACTGACACCATCCTCGGTGACCAGATGGCACATGAATTACTCTTCACATGTGTTACACTTAATCACTAGTTTCTCCTTCTAGTTCTTATGATGTACATAGCCTAGCCCTGAGGTTTACAGATATACAAAGGCTTGTGGCCCATAAACCTGTGTCTCTATATAGAGTTCATGGTCTCACACTGGCCAGTGGAAAATAGGTATCCCTAAAACATTTCCTCCTGTGACCCCACAGAATTCCCTCCTCTCAGTAGCTTACCACGGCTGAGCACTGGCTCCAGCAGGCAAGCAGTTCAGCTTGGTGGGCCTGTCCTCCAGAAGCTGCCTGCTATCAAACTCACTACTAATCCACACATGGGAACAAGAGGAACCCATTCTAAGATCAAGACTTGCTAAGATAGCCCTCTAACCAAGAAGCCCTCACCACACCTTACAGGTTCTCAAACCACGGGCAACTTATACTGTTATCATAAAAGTAATATACAGTTCATAAAATTAGAATCTACATAAAGAATTAATCTACACTAGGAAGGACCCCAGGGCCCTGTCCTGCAGTCCCAACACTAAAGAAAGACCCTCTGCAATTAGGCAGTGATACAACCATTGGGAGCATCTTTCAGAACCCCTGCAGGACAAGAAAACCATGTACAACCCCTGTAGATACCCTCTATGGATGCCCCCATGAATGACTTACTGCCCAGGGGTCTGTTCTTCCCTAGTTGAGCCCAGCTCTGTCACCACTGCCCCTGGCACTTTCATCTCTGCCCCAGAGCCTACACAGGACTGGAGAACAATAAATGCTGGTGGTGACCCTTCATTTAGTGTTTATACCAGGCTAGGCAACCAGGGAGGCACCACAGATGGAAGAAGGATAGTTCCTACCCTCAAGGGTATCACAGTTAGGCAAGAGAAATATTACCAAAACAGAGTAACAGAATTTAAATCCATGACAAAAATAGCCAGTAAATGCTGAAGACACACAGCAGGCCCCAAATATGTGCCATAATGCTAAACCACCCTGTTTTTGTGTTTTACTGGATAGATGAGTCTTCCTAGATTGTGGACTGTTGAAACTATTTAGTAATGAAACACACCAAGCACATCTGCCACAACTTCACTGTCTAGCACAGAATGAAGGGTAGCTGCTGCTCTGGTGGAAGAGAATTAGCACTTTTGCATTGGCCCAGTTCTCTCTCAGCCATGGGGAACCAGCAAGAGGAACAAGAAGCACTGTAAGGGAGTACTCTGCTATTTCAGCAACAAAATAGAACAAGACGGCCTCTCAGATTTTTTAACTAAAGCTGCTTTTGAACATGAAAATTGTGGTTAAAAATTAAACTGATAAATAATTTAGAATATTCTGATGTACAGAATCAAGATTCCAATAACCTATCATGGGTTCCCCCACCTTTTTTTTTTTTTTTTTTTTTTGGTACAAGGGATTGAACCAGGGGCACTTTACCAGTGAGCCATATCCCCCAGGCCTTTTTTAATTTTGTATTTTGAGACAGGGACAGGGCCCTGCTAAGTTGCTAAAGGCCTCGCTAAATTCTGAGGCTGGCCTCAAACTTTCAATCTTCCTTCCTCAGCCTCCAAAGTCACTGGGATTACATTCACCTTCTCACTGAAATGTTCTACAGATCCAAAGTTTAAAAAGTCTAGCAACCATCAATCTTCATTCAACAAGTGTTTTATTGAGTGTGCATGTTCATCACCACCAAAATGATCTATCATCTTTGACCTCAAGAAATCAAAAGACCCAACTGGCCTCCAGAAGAGCAGGGGGTTGAGTGAGTGTCTCTTCCATGAGTGGAGTCCCAACAAAGGATGACACTATTGGCCTAAGTCTTTTCTGAAGAAACGGAGGCTATAGGGTTGAAAGGGCCGCCAGAGCCCAAGGTACAGAACAGGGAGGAGTGAACCTAGCTCTGAGTTTCTGTGCAGCATCGTATAGACATCCATGTGGAATATACACTACCTCAGATAACTATGTGGAACTTTCTAGGCTCACTCTGAAAAGGCCCCAGATCCTTGCAATATTGTACTATTTGCCATGTTAAACTTAAAACAGCTCTTAAAGTTGGAAATCTTGGAGCTGGGGAATACTCTACTACTCAGTGGTAGAGTATTTTCCTGGTAAGTGCAAGACCCTGTTTTTGATCCCCAGCAACACACACAAAGTTGGAAACCCAAAGTATATTTCTTAGTTTAAATGTTCTACAGATTCCAAACTAGGGCTGGGATTGTGGCTCGGCGGTAGAGCGCTCGCCTAGCACATGCGAGGCCCTTGGTTCTATCCTCAGCACCACATAAAAATAAATAAGTAAAATTTTAAAAAATAATAAAAATAAAAACCAAAACTAAAACTCCCTCTGGCCTGTATAGAACATTACATAATGAACATGCTCTCTCATGATGCCCAGGGTTGGATTCTGAGCAAGGCCGGCCTGTGTCCACTATGGGTCTTGAGTTTCATCAAGTAGGAAGATCAATCTAATGGTCCACTTGGGTGAACAGATTCTGAAGGACTGAGGTTACCACACAATTTCTCAGATATTAACTTCTAAATCAGAGCATCTGTTTATTCATGTACAATAAGAAATATATCCTGTAAAAGAACCAGCAAAAGCCAGGTGTGATGTCACACATCAGTAATCTCAGTGACTCCACAGGCTGAGGCAAGAAAATTACAAGTTCTGGGCTAGCCTCAGCAATTTAGCAAGGCACTAAGCAACTCAGCAAGACCCTGACTCAAAATAAAAAATAAAAGGGGCTGGAGATGTGGCTCAGTCGTAGAGCACCCCTGGGTTCAATCCCCTGTAATGAATGAACGAAAGAATTAGCATACCTACACTTATGGGACAGTGGCCTCTGCTCTGGGAACAAAGTAAACAGTACAGCCATACATGCTACTTGCATCCCCAGTACAAAACGTAAGCTCAGCAAGTAATTCTGGGAAAAGTGCTAACAAATGTAAGAAGGAAGAAAGTAAGAAAACCAAGATGCATGGGGTACCTCATACATTTTCACATGTGTATCTGATTTAATCCTCACAATAAACTATAAGATAGGTCTTACCTTGCTAATAAAACAAGACTGACTCTGAACAAAGACACTTATTATTAAAATAAAAGACCCAGCATCTGCTAGAGTCCAACCTTAAGCAGAGTCTCACGACGATTTGCCACACACCAGACACTGCTATTAACAGTGAAGGAGCCATCATTCCTTTCCCCAGAATGCCCCCTGTCTAAGAGGCAGACAAATTCCAACTACCCAGTAATGACCAGGCCTGGAAAGGATGAGGGAGAGTGACTAGAAGAGACACCAACCTCAGTGTGTAGGGTCAGAAAACTGCTCAGGGTACCCCTGCTTCAACAGAAACCAGAAGCACAATTATGTCCGGCTGAACATTGAGAGGCTATGTCCCTATACATCCAAGCCTGCACTTCTCATACATCATACACTGCCCTAGGTCTATGTGTATTGGAGGCTATGACAAATTTTCTTTTGCAAACTCTGTAACAGAGAGCTCCCTCTGCCAATCCTGCCCTGCAAAACTGCCTATCTAAACTGGAAACAACTCCCAGCATTCACTGTAGTGCCCCTAGATAGGTTCAATTTCTTTTAAGAAAATTGAGTAGTCTGATGCCTGATGGAAAAAGGACCTTTCCCTGGTACTACACATATCTAATAATGAGCACAACATTGCCTGTATGTGTCCCCATCTCAGGACTTGGCCAAGTTTAGAGAATCAGATCTCTGCCCACTGCTGCCAGTTTGCTCTGGTGGCAAATGCATACGCACCTTAATGCCCATAGGATGCCATAGCCAATGGACTGAAATCCACACTAGTACACAACTATGGTCCCACTGTGGGCCTATGGACAAAATTCCAGGCACGAGTCTCTCCAGGTTTGGATGCTATCAATTTCTTGACCTTTTTCCTTTACCATTGTCCAACTCAGATCTTGGGACTCAACTGACTACAAATCCACAGGAAAATTACTTTTCCCTCAAAGACAGAAAAACCATGGCCTCATTCCTGAGTAAAAATGAATGAGTGTAACAACCTCTACTCTCCAGTTGGATGGGATGGCTCCTCATTTCCAGGCACACATACTGTTGACTGCCCTCCAACCAAAGAAGCTGATAAATGAACCCTCCACCCCAATGTCCCAGAGTAGAGGTCAGAGGACAGGACATCCTGAACAAGCCCTGAGAAATGGCATAAATGCCACCCACAAGGGCCCCACACAATTGTTCTAGGCGGCTCCTTCCACACTGGATTTGAACCTACCTCATTCTCCATGGAATACCCCGTTGGAGACTCAGTTTGAGGAGCAATTTCTTTGGAGGAATTCTGGTTCCTCACCTTCTGGTGCATTCTCTACTCTCTCTTGAACTTGTTGAAAAATATGGTCAGATGTTAGCCCTCCCTCTGAAAAAAAACATGAGCAAGCAGGAAGACCAGAAACCACAGCTTCCTTCTGCAAAGCCCACTGCACTTGTTTACAGTTTTTAAAAAGCTTAAAAAGCGGGCAGCATCCAGAATGTTGATAAAATTCAAGAGGGCTGCATGAACAAAAAGACACAAAATGAACAAATAAATATTTTCCCACTACTCACAGCACGCAAATCCCACAAGCAGCACCCCCTGCATTTCTGTAGGATCCCATGCAGTCAACTAAGGGATGCTATTTTGGACGTCTGACCTTTCAGAAGTTCTGATACTAAAGTTAAAAATCAGAGAGAAAACACTGCTAGGCTTGCATGCTGTTGGTGAAAACCCAGGGCCCTAAACTCATGGAAGGGTAGAGACATGGACAAGGCTGTCTCAGACATGCTTTTTTTCACCACTTGCTCTAAGGCAAGCAAGACCTTTCTGGAGAAAGGTGCATTTCCAAGTGGGGCTTGGGCAAGGCACATGTGGCTAGAAGGCTGCCTGCAAATGCCTCTACCTGCCTCCAGGATTAGCAAGTTGAGTCACCAATCTGAAACTAAGTAGTGTGTGTCCACCAGCAACTTTGCCTTCAGTTCTTTAAATTTCCTAATATAGAAAAGGAGAAGTTGGACTTATTGGTGCTGAGGTTCCTTATGGAATATTTCAGAATGACTTGCAAATAGAAAAACTACTTAATTAATCTTCTGGTTAATTAGAGTGACTACAGATAACTCACAGATCAACATGTAAACCAAATAATTAAAATACAGATGCTCCTCCCACAACACAAATTGAAAATACCATAAGCTGAAAATGCATTTAATACACCTATCCTGATAAACATCCTAGCTTAGCCTAGCCTACCTTAAACGTGCTTAGAACATTCAAATCAGCCAAGCAAAGTGGCTCACACCTAAAATTCCAACTACACAGGAGGCTGAAGCAGGAGGATCTCCATTTCCTCTACTTAGATAGACACTGTCTCAAAAATAAAATTTTAAAAAGTCTGGGGATGTAGCTCAGGAGTAAATCATTCGCCTAACATGTGTGAGGCCCTGGATTCAGTCTTTACACATCAAAAAACAGAACACTTGGGCTGGGGTTGTGACTCAGTGGCAGAGTGTTTGCCTCACATGTGTGAAGCATTGGGTTCAATTCTCAGCACCGCATATAAATAAATAAATCAACTAAAAAAAATTTAAAAAAAAAACAGAACACTTAACTCAGCCTAGAATAGGAAAAATTATCTAATACAAAACCTATTTTATATACTACAGGGACACAGCCACATCAATGTTTATAGCAGCACAATTCACAACAGCTAAACTGTGGAACCAACCTATATACCCTTCAGTAGATGAATGGATAAAGAAAATGTGGTATATATACCCAATGGAATATTACTCAGCAATAAAAGAGAATAAAATCATGGCATTCACAAGTAAATGGATGCAGCTGGAGAATATAATGCTAAGTGAAGTTAGCCAATCCCAAAAAACCAAATGCTGAATGTTTTCTCTGATATAAGGAGGCTGATTCATAGTGGGGTTGGGAGGGGGAGCATGGGAGGGTTGGACGAACTCTAGATAGGGAAAAGGAATGGGAGAAGAAGGGAGAGGGCACAGGGGTAGGAAAGATGGAGGAATGAGATGGACATTATTACCCTAAGTACATGTATAAGGACACAAATGGTGTGAATACACTTTATATACAACCAAAGATTTGAAAAATTGTGCTCTATATGTGTAATATGAATTGCAATGCATTCTGCTATCATATATAACAAATCAGAATTTTTTAAAAACCCTATTTTATAATAAAGTGGTGAACATCTCATCCTAGGCAAATAGTCCCACCGCTGACCTACATCTCCAGCTCCCTTCATCTAATTTTTAATAACTATCCTTTTCTTTTTAATTTTAAATTTCTAATTATATAAAACCGTCACAAGGTTTCAAAGTAAAAGTACATACAAATATGCACTCGGGCTGGGGTTGTGGCTCAGTGGTAAAGCGCTTGCCTAGCATGTATGAGGTACTAGGTTCGATCCTCAGCACTACATAAAAATAAATAAAATAAAGGTTTTTTTTTAAAAAAGAATGTTTTAAAAAAATATGCATTCACAGATGTTTCTCTTCCATCCCTATTCCTTTTCTATACCCTCTCAATATTAACCATTTTAATTAGTATCTATTTATCTTTTCATCATTTCCTTTTGGTCCTATAAGTAAATATGTATATTACATATATATGCATTCAAGTTTTCTTTTTTATGCAAAACATAGTCTAATAATAACATACCCATATCAACATACAGAGATTTTCCTCATTCTTTTTATATCTGCATAATACACAATTCAATCAGTTTCCATGGTTCTGGAGGTTGAAAAGTCCCATCACCTGCCATTTGCAAGTTGGAGATCCAGGAAAGCTGGTAGTATAATTTAGTCTACACCCAAAAGCCTTAAGAAACCAGTTGTCTGGGCTGGGGTTGTAGCTCAGTGGTAGAGCGCTCGCCTAGCACAGGCGAGGCCCTGGGTTTGATCCTCAGCACAACATATAAATAAATAAAATAAAGATATTGTACCCAGCTACAACTAAAAAAATATTTAAAAAAAGAAAGAAAGAAACCAGTTGTCATGTCCTCAGAGGCTATCACGTGTCTGCCTTTTTTTTTTCCCATTCCTTCCTTCCCCACCTTTTTTTTTTTTTTTTAATCTCCCCCTGCTGGGAGTTGAACCCAGGGCTTTGCACAAGCTAGGCAACACTCTACCACTGAGCTACATCCCCAACCCAATGGCTCAACCTTCCCTTCCCTCCCACTTCCCTTTTCCCTTCCTTTCCTTCCTCTCACGTAATTTATTGAATACTATACTGAAAGTAAAAAACAGAATGGTTATACAGGTACAACTGTGCACCATTATAAAGTAAAAAACTCACTGAGTCAAACCACTGTAGTTAGGGACCATCAGTACAATTTTATTATACTAAATCAAAGTGCTGGCTTTCAACAGTGTTTTACTTATAAAAACAGCAAGTTCACATGGTTCAACTTTTTTAACATGTAACAATAAAGTTTATTATTTCTTGGTTCCAAAAAGACTGGTTGCCTCAGAATAACTCTGTTCTTCAGTTACTATCACATATCACATATGCCACAAATGTAGAAAGCAGTGTAAAATGGGAAAAATAGTCCTAAAGTGAGATTTGTAAGAATAGATACATGGTATTAACTCCCTGTCACTTTACCTTTTTTTTTTTTAATACCTTTATTTTATTTATTTATTTTTATGTGGTGCTGAGAATCGTACCCAGCACCTTGTACATGCTAGGCAAGCATTCTACCACTGAGCCACAACCCCAGCCCCATCACTTTTATCTTTTTAAAACCCAGAGTAGAGTCACAGGATCAGGTTCCTCCTTTCTAAAAGCCGCTTCTACAGAGTAGAACCAGGTGACCTGAACCCAGGCAAGAAAGGAAACCCAGACACTACTAGGCCCAGTAATCCCACCCCACTGTGGCTACTACAGGGGGCCCCTCCCGGAGAAACAGATACAACTAAAAAGGAAATACATGCTGAGAGCATTCCTTCACTAATAGACATCATCCATCCTTCACAGACACAAATGATTTCCATGATCATCATAAAAGAGAAAGGCCAAAGAGTGAATAGGGAGAGACAGGGCAGGGAAAGACATCTGAGAAGAAACCCCATCCATAAAACAAGAATAGGCTAGCTAAAAAAAGAAAGAACAAGTTATCTTAGAAATTACAAATATAATGGCAAAATAAAAAGTTAATTAGAATAATAAAATGGGTGTAACTAATTGGCTAACCCATTAGTGATGAATTTGAGAAGGAGTTCTAACTTTGAACCTTAATTAAGCAAAATGTTAGGACCCCAAAAGAATTCCTGGGGCTGGGGCTTAGCGGTAGCACACTTGCCTGGCCTGTACTATATAACTTTATCACAACAAATTATACTTAATTTTATTATATTCTAAATTCAATAAAAACTTTGTGGAAATTTGTTGCCTTAAATCTAAGTACCTAACTTAATGACACTGATTTTGCCTCATGGCCCAAAAAGCCTAAAATATTTTCTCTCTGACTTTTTAAACAAGTTTTACCAATCCTATCCTAGAACATAAAGCAAAAATATAAAAAAAAATTGAAAGTATGAGAAAAAGTAAGGAACACAGAAGAGTTGAGTCAAGAGTAAGTCTAGCATTCATCCAGGGGGAAAACAAGAGCAAAGACAAAACAAGAATACAAATGTCAGAAGAAACCAATGAGGAACCATTCTGTGGACAGAAAAAGCCCAATAAGAGGTAGGTTAATGTAAAAGACAAATCCTAGATACTTAGACTAGTTCTCAGAAAATTATAGAACATCAAGATGCAGATGTAGCTCAGTGACAGAGCTGGTATCTGCAAGGCCCTAGGTTCAATCCCCAGCACACCAATGGAGAAAAAAGCCTACAGAATTAAGAGAACTTGGTGGTTGGGCTGGGGATGTGGCTCAAGCGGTAGCGCGCTCGCCTGGCATGCGTGCGGCCGGGTTCGATCCTCAGCACCACATACAAACAAGGATGTTGTTTGTGTCCACCAAAAACTAAAAAATAAATAATAAAAAAATTCTTTCTCTCTTTAAAAAAAAAAAGAAAGAGAGAGAGAACTTGGTGGCCGCAGTGGAGCTTGCCTATAATCCCAGCAGCTTGGGAGGCTGAGCCCTTAAACAACTCAGTGAGACCCTGTCTCTAAATAAAATACAAAAAAAGGGCTGGGGATGTGGCTCAGTGGTTAAGTGCCCTAGGTTCAATCCTGGTATTAAAAAAAAATAAAAATAAAAATAAGAGATCTCAAAGTTTCCAGTAAGAAAAATGAAAAGATTACCTATAATGGAAGAACACTTCAGCATTAGATGGGTCATGGTAGAAGGAAATGTGGTAATTCCGTTAAAATTCTGAGGGGAAATTACAGTTATATACTATATAATTATTTCAATCAATGACAGACCATATATGGGAAAGTGGTCCCAGGAGATTA